CTGTAGTTGCTTCTGTCAGCCTATTCTGCCCCAAGTCTCATCATCCTGTTTGCCAGCCCCAGGGAAGACCTTTGCCATGGAGACAGGTTACCATGGAGAGTAGACTGCTGACTGAAGAACGGTGTTCTCCAGAGAGACAGGAAGCATAGACAACCACAGGGATGCAAGAGCCTGCCTGCCACATTAGGAGAACACCTTGTGTTCAGGAAATGAGGTTTGGCCCATAGACATGAAGGCTGTGCTGAATACCATCCCTTCAAACCCTCCTTGCTCTCTTTCTCTGACCAAACCACTGGCCTGAGCCAGCTGTCTGTAAGACTGTGCAGAAAGAGGGACAGAAGAAGCCAGGAGAGCAAGAGGGCATTGGAGTTCCTACTTTTGGGTCACTTCACCACCTCTCTGGTGCACATAATAGAGCACCCTAAGTGGACAGTTTTCTTTTTGCTTTCAGAACACCTACCACTGGAGGGTAGCATGTGGCAATGTTGGTCAAGGGTCTGGGTTGCAAGGTTAGACCAAGCCTAAGCAAGAGCCCTAGTGACTACTGGAAGGAGCCAGAAATAGCAGAAATAGCAGGGCAGAGTGCCTCAACCCCTAGGGAGAAGCCAAGTTCAAGTCCTGACTGCCACAAATCTTGTCTTGGGCAGGTAGCTTCCTGTTCTAGGTCCCCGTGTCTTTATCTGTAAAGTGGGGCCCTTGGCCATGACGGTAGCAGTGGATTTCTTCCACCTTTAAGGCTCTTTGGATACTATCCAGACAATTCCTGGAGAGATGTTAGGACACAGCTAAGACATGTGGCTAGGCAGGAAAGGCCACTTCTCCATACAAGCAAATGTCTAGTTACCCATCTGGATTTATGTTTTATAAGAAATAAGTGGGATCGTAGTAGAAATCATGGCTGAGGGAGGGAAGCAGACTATGCTCCAGATTCCTTGGTTATTTGCTGGTTTCTGCAGCCGTGTGCAGCCGAGTGCAGCCATGTGCAGACTAATCTTATTGCCTTGAATAGCCTGCCCAGCTTGGAATTTAAGAACAGCCTTTGAGAATTGTCATTTTCACCTAACTGGCAAAAGTGCAAACTTACAACTGAACGAGACCCTTCCCACTTGCCCACTGTGGCTCCTGGTAACATCCCCTCTTCTCTCAGGGATTCTTAAGGGATGTCCCTTGTTCATACTTGATCATGTACAGAGTCCCTCCACCTTCTGAATGTGGTGGCTCTGGGGGGTATAATCCCTTCTTTAAATTTTAATTTTTCTCCACATTACATTACCATAAGGTTTTCATAGGCATTGGCTGCTCAGGTACAAAGTAAAACTTTTTTTTTTTTTTTTGTAAATCTTCCCTTCCCTCTTGCTCCTCCTCCCTGAATTAAGAAAGCAGGACCCGGTCAGCCGGGAATCTTGCTTCCCTGTCATCCGTCCTAACCAGCCCAGTGACCTCTGGCTGGAGGGTCAGCCGGCCCTGCCTGTGCAACTGCAGGTGGCTGCTTGCTTAAAGCGGGAGGGCAAAGGCAGAGCTGCTCAGATTTAAAACTTCACCCTCAGGGGATGCCTCAGAGTTGGGGCGTGGACAAGAGGGAGGGTACTGAAGTCGGGGCGGGGGTGGGGGTAGGGAGGGGACTTGGAAAGAAAAGCAGCTTTCCTGGGCCAGCTGTGCTGACTCCTCTAAGCCTTGCTGACACAGCAGAAAGATGGGGGCAAAGGCAAGAAACGTCTAGTTAAAGCACCACCCCTGTCGCCCAACTGCCGTTTTGGTTGGCTTCAGCATAGCCCTCGCTCACAGACTTGCTTCAAAGGGAGCGCGTGCGGTGGGAAAGTCATCTGGCTCCTTCAAAATTTCATAACCTTGTTCAATCCAGACATGAATTTGGCCAAAAAGTCTTACTCTGGATTAACTTCAGCGTGGTATTTGGACCAGGCTTGGACCTGAAGCCAGGCGGATGGAGGCCAAACCCGTCAAAGAAGCAAAGGTTGAATTCATTTTCATTTACATAATTTCCCCGTCCCCTTGCTTTTTAAAAAATGTTGCTCTTTGCCTTATTTCTCAATGACTGGATCAACATTCACAACCCCCTGCCCCCCACATCTCAGATTTCACATCTCTGCTAGCCCAGAAGACACTCCCCAGATCCTCCAGTATGCTAGGCTCCAACCGCTGAAACCACAGGCCATGTTCTAAAGAACGCCCTCAACAAATTTTAGGCCTTTCTTGACCCACTAAGGCTCACCTTTCTTTATTTGCTTTTGGCCCTAAAAACCCTTGTCTCCCTAGTCCCCTTAGCCTCACACACATTGCCTTCTGTTTTTATATCTATCGCTGGCTCCTGAACTGGCCAAAAGAAAATGCAGGGCCAGGCGTGCTCCAAGCCCTGGACGACATCTAGGCGACTCCCTCTCCAGTTGCTAAGCAACGCATCCAGCAAACCCTGGGTCTCCGCCAGCCTGGCTACACCTCCCTCTCCCGAAACTTTGGCTGCCAGCCACCTCTCCTTCGCTCCTCACTTCTCAATCTAGAAACGCACTGTACTGGGGGGTGTTACATAATACAATAATATGAATATATAGTATATTTTTGGTTGCATACCATATATAAACACAGTATATGCGTATTATAGCTTCTATCCGCGGGAAAAGAGGTCCAAGCTCACACTACTCAGATTTCAATGATGGGGGAGGGGATCTAGGGAGCAAGAATTTCTCCTAAAGGACCCAGAAGACAACCTCCTCTCTTCATTACCTATTTCCCGTTCCTTAAGAATGACGTCATCTTTGGCTTTTTTTTTTTTTGATCCAACTAATGGCTCTCGGGTTGAAGGATCTTCTCCGAGAGCCTGCTCCCTTTCTCGAGGAAGGTATTAACCTTTGCCACTGTGGACAGCAGCCAGGGCGCAATTGTAGGAGCTGGGGTTGGAGTGAGGGCGAGGAGAGGGGGTTGCTTCGGGTTGAAGAGGCTGCAAAGAATTCTAAAACGATCTGGTGCAGGACCAAAAAAAAAATCGTGCGTACGTGTGTGCATGTAGGCGTGCACGCGCGCGTGTGCACTGGGTCCGCTTGGGAGTTGGATGCTGCCTCTGCTGGTCTAACATCTGCGTGTGTGCGTGCTCACAGAGCGCACACCTATCCCAGCTACTCCCTATCTACCGCTTGGCTGGGCAAATAAAAGTGGGGCCGCGATACTGCGGAGGCTTAACTTGCGCAGTTCGTCTGTGATGGGATTGCTAGCCACCCCTTTTGTCTCCAAGCCAGGTAATGGATTCATACCGCTTCAGCCGGCAAGAATGTAATAGAAATAACCACGAAAATCGGTCTCTGGGGGCTTCTGCGGTTTGTACGCCTCCACCCCCCTCATGATGCAACTTCTCGTGATAGCTCAAATCTGCAGTTCCTGGGGAGAGAGGCTGAGCTCACGCAAGCTCTGCTGCCTACTGATGAGCGCTCACGTACCCTCCTACGAGCTGGAATCCGTAGGTCTTTAGTTTGAGTTCAAAAAAAAAAAAATTACAAACCTTCTCATGTTGGAGTAATAGAGGACGACAGGTGGTGAGAAGGGCTTTATCTTTGTAAGGAACTGCATCAAATAAACATTTAGCCAAGTGTTAACACCTCTAGGAGAGAGTCAATAGCTGTTAATCTCTCCTAGCACAGATTTTGTGCATCGTTGGTTAAGCTTAAATATATACAATACATAAATATAAAAATAATATAATAAAAATATATAATCAAGTAACTCCCCAAAGAAATCTAGCTCGAGGCAAAACGGTTCTGATTGAACAAGAAGCTCTGTCTATCATTTAAACCACAGACTCTGGGCACAGAGAATTTGGAGGCGGGGCAAGAGGGGGCGGGGCAAGCGGAGGGGTGGTTCCCAGAGCGTAGTCTTCCTGTCTCCGCCCCTTGAATTCTGTGTTTCCAGGGCCCTTCACGCACTTAGCCACACTCACTTTTAGTCTGGTCTAAGTGATTGGTGGAGGGTGGGGGTGCTAGGGTGGGGTGGAGTGGGGAGAAAGGGAGGGGAGATGGAGAGGGCCAGTATCCAGTGGGAACTTGAGGATGTCTTCATCCCACATCCCTCTTCACCTCTCAAGCCTATGTCCATCTTTTATCTTAAGTAAAATGTGAATTCAGGAGGGGAAAAAAAGCATTAGATTCAGGGACGAACATTCAGCACAGAACACCAAACTCTTTCACTCCATACCCCACACCCTACCCCAGCACGCCTGAAGGATTCTTTCTCTTCCTGGGAGGAAAAAAAAAAAGAGACGTTTTACAGTCTAATGTGTTTTATCATCGATCATAATCAACCATATCAATTCAAAAGCAGCAAGTGTATATGTCGGTGAACACTCAATATCTCCACCCAAAATACATTAGTTGTCAATGATGTGGTGTGTGTGTGTGTGTGTGTGTGTGTGCGCGAGCGTGCGTGCGTGCGCGCGCGCGCTCGTCCTTGAGCAAATAGGAATGGAGGGAGAGATAAATCTGGAGGCACTGAGATGTGGGGTAAGGCTTGGAGGGATCAAGGTAGAATTAGCTCTAAAGATGAATAATGCATCTCCAGATTCCAATTAAAATGATCTTTTAACAAAAGTTTTTTTTTTAAAGTTTAGGGAGAAAAGTACGGGGATGGAGTGGAGAAGGGAGTTGATAATTTAACCTGTTCTTTTTCAGAGTGGATTCTCAGTATTTGGACTTTGAGACTTAGAAGGAGCTCGGAGTCAGGATTGCCACGAGTTAGGAGTGGGGGAGGGTCGGGCTGAGGTGGAGATTGAGAGGAGATGGAGTGTAAACTGGTAGAGGTCAGGTTAGACAGCAGCCTGGGATAGCAGGCTCTGAGGTGCAAGGACTCACCCCATCTGCTCCCAGGAGCTACCAGGGTCTCAGACACTTGCTGCGTGCGCAAAGCGCGCGGGTTCCCAATCCGTCCCGGGTCCCCACCCATCCAAGGTGCCTCCCCCTCCAGCTCGTGTGCGGTACAACTGGAACCCCGGTAGCGCTCACCTGTCTTGATTTGCTCGCCGTAGCTCTTTTCGTTGAGGCAAACCCCGCGGCCGTGCAGCAGGGCGTGCAGCGGCTTCTCCTCATCCTGCCGGGGGAGACAGCGCAAACCCTGGGCGCAGCGCTCCGTGTAGACGCCACACGACTGTCCCTCCGCCAGGGCGCAAGTCATGCAGCAGCCACAGCCGGGCTCTTTGACCAGCTCACAGCCCAGAGGGCTGGGGGGACACATGGACAGAGCTTTCTCATCGCAGGGTTCACAGTGCACGAAAGAGCCCAGGCCTTGAGCTGGCACGGCATAGGCGGCCAGCAGCAGGAGGACCACGCTGATCACCATTTTCTCGGAGTCTGGCTTTACCTCGGGGCGGGGCAGGAGAGCGAGAGTGTGTGGAGAAAGGGGCCAAGAGGGAGCCTGGAGATTCTTTTTTTTTTTTTAATCTCTTGCAGGTAGAGCAGGTGCTCTCCCCCAAACCCTTGCAAAATATTAGGCAAGGAGGAAGATTCAGATGCCTGCACGCAAGTCCCAGTTGCAAGGATTAAAGACTTGCAACAGGTTGGGGGTGGAAAAAAAAAGAGGCGCGCCAGGTGCACGCAGAGTGAGCGGAGACCGAAGAAACCCCTAGGCGGGATCGGGTCAGAATTGGGGGTGAGGGTGGAGAGATCCACAGAATTGCTCACCCCAAAGCAACAGAAATAATTAACTTGGAAGCCTTGAAAAGGTGAGAGGTGAAGAAAAAATGGATTTGGCTTATTTTTTTTTGTTGCCTTTTGCTTAAAAATCTAAAACGCACCCCCACTCCTCAGCCTCAGCTGCCAGTTGCGCCGCTGCCGCAGAACAGGTAAGAGGCGTCGGCGGCTGCCAAGAAGATCGGGAAAATGTTGAAATCAAGGGAGAGGAAAAAAAAAGGCAAAAATCCAGACCTCACCAAACCTGGACCCCAACACCTCTTTTCTCCTGTTCTGCCACCACCTCTTCGAAACCCGCAGGTTCTGCGTGAAGTCCGGAGAAGGGTGCAGACCGAGGAGGGGGATAAAGAAAAGGAACAAAAAGGGGGGGAAAACCCAAACAGCTTTGCAGCGCTTTCCTAGCTCTTTTAAAACCCCCCGGCAGAAGTTTCCAAAGAGACTGCGGGCTCTGGTGGAGCAGGCGCTTTTAAATAGACGGCCCCTGGCTGCCAGCCAGTTGTAGCTGCAATTTGAGCTCCCCAACACCCAACCCATGCAAGGATGCCAAGGAGCTTTGCAGCGCAAACTCACACGGGGTGGGGGTGGGGAGAGGCCTTCTAGACACGGGGGCTCCCCTTTGCTCCCTGCACAGAGCCCTCCTCCCCACGGAATGTACAGAAAGGGCTTGGGGGGGGGGGGAACGGACAGGCGAGCTACAGAGGAGAGTAGGGAGAAAAGGTGGAGGGAGGAGTGGATGGCAGTAATCTTCAGGAGCTGGGTGAAAACAATGGGGCGAGCCGGTTCTCCGACAACTAGCCAGGACACTGGCTGTTAGAAGCCACATTTTCTTATTAGCCATGTATACCCTGCCCGAGGAGTCCTTTTCAACTTTAGAAAAAAAAAGTGTCTAAGGGACCACTGAGGGTTTGTCTGACAGTGTGTTTGTGTTTGAGGGACAAATAGTGTACAGTAGCTGGTGAGGGGCGTTGAGATGAATTTAAAGGAGAAAAAGTGTGTGTGTGTCTGTGTGTGCCCATCAAAAGTCGGGGCAGAGGGATTATGGCAAGGGCTTGTCGTTGTTGTTCTGGTGGGGTACTGATTTTAGTTATACTCAGTGGTCATTTTCCCTTCACCTACATAGCTGACCAGGGAAGCGTGTGTGTGCACTTTCAAGGAGGAATACCCCTGGGCCCCCGCTGTCCCAGCTTTCTTGGGAGTAGTGACTGAGACCCTGGAGGAAAAGTTATGGGTTGTTAGTTTTATCTGGTGTCCTCATGGACACCTTAAACGTCCTTTTAAATGGAAAGAAGATAAACTAAAGTGATAACCTTCTTGGGGTTGACAAAGGAGCACTTCTGTGGGGTAGGCAGACCCTGGAGTGAGCAGGTACCTTACTGCAGGAGGCCTTGTCTTAGGGTTAATCTATACCAGTGTATATGAGATGGTAGGACCCTGGGGACTGCACATGAGAAATCCTCACCCAGGCCTTCACCATGACACGTCAAGCCCCAGATCACAGGTCAGTACTAGGGACCATTCTTCCCTTAGGAAAATGAAAGAAAACCTAATTTTTGAAAGAAGGAACATGATGGCTTTAGCTCTTTTTGTTTGTTTTGAAAATTAATTTGACATGATAGGTGGTCTGTAGACTGCCCACCACAGATTAAAAAAGACATGACCAAGACATGCTGGTCTCTGGGGAGTTCTTGGGGCAGGACTCTTGTCCTTTCTCCAAGTCTCTTCTCTCTTTGCTAAGTGCTCTGTTCTTTTAGAAAAGGGGCTGCATTTCATGGATTTTGCCACTAGACTGCACCCTTATCTATGATAAGAGTTCTTGCTGGAGGACTGCAATATTGAGAAATATTTCCCTTGCTGGCTTCCATCTCACCGGGTGTTGTTCACACTCCCAGATCCTGATCCAGACTCTCAGTTCTCTGTTTGCCAATAGGCACATTTAAAAGCAAGCCCAAAGTTTAAAGTTATGCTTTTACACCCATTGCCAGAGCAGTTTTATTGTGTTGGTGGCTGGTGGCTAGCAGAGGGAAGAGCTGTGTGCACCAATGTACCAAAAAAAAAAAAAAAAAAAAAAAGGGCCTGGGAAAGCAGGGAGCAAATTAATGTTGAAAACTGGGTTGTGATGTTTTGGAAGAGAGATCCAGTGTTATGCTCTCATTTTAGTCCAATTCAGGAGGAAAGAATGGTAGGAAGGGGTGTGGTATGGGGATGGGTTCAGCTCATCCTGGTTTAGCATTTGAAAGGGGGAAAACTAGGGTGGTTCTTCTGAGGAAATGTAAGTCGTTAGGTTCTTCAAAAGTTCACCAATACTCTCAAAATATGGCCTCAATTAGTAGTTATTTTTTCTAGCTGACGTCTTGAGGCTGGAAAACACAGTGTGCAAGGACCAGTAACAGAGGAGGAGTTGGTTGGTAGAGAATAGAGGTGGGCAGAGAGAAGACAGGTGAGAGAGTGTGGGGAATTGATCCTTGAAGGTGATGGTGGGGTCATGGGGAGAGATCAGTGAAAGACTGTCTATTTTAAGCCACCATGATGATCTCCACTTCCAAAAGGGCAGAAGGAACTCAGAGACAGGGACTGCTGTTCAGGAACACAGGGTGGGTTCTTGAGAGCACATAAGAAAGTGAAGGCTCTTCCGAATCTTGGGATCATCTGTAGGGATTTTTATCCAAAGATCGGTGACTGGAGAGGTGAGTTTTATGCTCAGTAGTCTATATGTGACGTTCAGTGACAAGTGTGCTGGGTGTTAGGGCATAAGGGCTTCCCAGGATTCCATTCTCTCTGCCCTCTATTTGAAAAACTATGGGCTCTTTAGAAGATGGGAGGATGGGGGAGTTAATATGAACAGAGTTTCATTGAGATGACTAACACATTGCAATCTGGTCCCACTCCCAGAGACCTCCTTTACGGCTGGCTTAGCTTCGATGCCGTAAATGTACCTGTGTGTGGTGGAGAGCTGAGGTCTGACAAGCCTTCGGACACAATCTTCTTAGTGATGTTTTAAGTTAAGTATTATCTACCATGGTCCATCTTCCCTGGGATCACGCTTTCCTTTGCTTTGACAAGAATTAAGTGATGATCAGGACCAAGCTTCAAGAACTTCAAGCGAATGAAAGATTTGTGCTGTTTATCTGGGCAATGTTCAAAGGGCAGAGGGCAGTTTTTCAGTTCAGGAAGCTTACCAGATCTCCATAAGCTTGCTGTTTCTTGAAGGTTTTCGAATGATTTCTAGGGCAAGGATGATGCCTAGTAGCGGGGTTGGAGAAGCAAGTCTAACCACTGTCTAAGAGAGGTTTGCTTATATTATTGTTTCCATTTTCAAGATCTGGTCATTGACATCCCCCTCACCCCACCCCCTCAGATACATGCACATAGAGAGACCAGGACATGCCAGGTATACTAATGCCAGCCTCCAATCTGGATCCTAAACTACGGCACTTTTAAAAACAAGTACTCAATCTTCAAGTTCCTTCCACCGTAAAGTTGAGCAGGACAGAGGAGCAGCTCAAGGCTGCTTCGGTGTAGTGTCATCGTTGAAGGCTAGGTGGCAGAACAGATACATCACTGAAATCACCTCCTTTCGTGCAGGCGGAAGAAGAAGCAGAGGAGAGGCAAAGGAAAGAGTTTTAACAATGAGGTTAGGTGCTCAGGAGAAGCATAGGTTCAGAGGGGCACATTTGTGTACCCACACCCTGTGGGCTCACTTTTATGCTGTCAAGCCTGCCCACTCTTCCTGGTGTTAGCACCAGACAAGCCCATTACTAAATGTCCTTCTAGCAGTTTCTCAAGGTTTACCCTGGAGACAAAGTTCCTCCAGCTTGGAATACGGTGACTTTTCGTTCATCAACACAAGCCCTAAAACTTCTCCCATGAGTAATTAGGATGCGGTCTTCATTAAAGAGCATGACACTGTCGCCCTTTACGCGTTTTAAAATGTTAATTCGTCTATTTCACACAGTCCAGACACATAGCTGTCTGTTCAGAACCTCTTGCCATCGTGGCTCGGGACTTTCTCAAGAATAACACGGTGTTGCAGGGAACAGCTCACGGGCTCCACCCTCTCCCTTCGTCTTCTGGCAGAGGCAGACTCTCTCCTCAGATAGCTCCGTGTTCCTTTGTACAGCGTATTCGTAGGTTTTATATGACATTTCTTATAGAAAGGAGGATGATTTCTAGGGTCAAACCATGTGCTGCTTAAAATTTCAAGTTTTATAAGCGAGGCTCGCTGCAGCCTTAACTGGAGTTGAAATTGACCCCGGGGCGATCTGTTTTATAAAAGAGCAGAAGCCAGCTGTGACTCAGAGTGATTTGTGTCCCTATGTGAGCAGTATATGCATCCATGGTTTTACGGATTAATGTTTAGGAGGTGCTGGAGCCGATCCAGGCAGAGAAGGGCAGAGCAGAGCTCCATAAATACAGTTTGGGCCTGGAGCCCTCCTGTCTTCTCAGACCACGGGATCTGGCATGTTTCTACAAGGGGCAGCTCAGAAGCCCTGTTAAACTTTGGAAAAGGCAAGAAAAGTGATCCGTTGTGACTTCGAAGATAGGGAGGGGAGGTCCGGCTCTAGGGGGGGAGACAGAAGTGGATATGGAAATGGAGTAAGAGGAGAGAGAGAGAGAGAGAGAGAGAGAGAGAGGGAGGGAGGGAGGGAGGGAGGGAGGGAGGGAGGGAGATAGAGAGAGAGAGTTAGAGTTAACTGCTTGAAACAGGTTTAATGAGAGTGAACTTTGAAAAGGCTAAATAAAATCACAGAGCCTGGTGGAGGCTAGGTTTCATCGTAGTTCAGGTCGGAGAGTGCGGGAAGATCAGTACACAGGGCAAATTTGTGTGAACTGGGAGAAGGCAGGCTTTCTCAGGCTGCCTTCCTTTTAGTTATTAGAAAATGGGTACAAGATAACAGATTTTGGAGTCTTAAACATAAATTCTGGGGACTGGGAAAATCTCTCAGCAGTAGCCAGCATGAGCCGCCCTTAAAAGGGTCTAAGTTGGATTCTCAGCGCTCATAGCTGGTTGACTCCAGCTCCAGGGGATCCAGCGACCTCTTCTGGCCTCTTCAGACATCACAAACATATGCACCCCTATCCATTGTAATGAAAATAAAAAATAAGTCTTTAAATAAAATCAATTCCGACTCTTATTGTCAGCCTTAAACTCGTATACACTCTAAATTTTCGCAAATATGCTAAAGTCTTAATCGCCAACCAAAATTCACTTAACAACTTT